TATTGTTCAGCTGGTCGCGGCAATGATTGAAGCCAGGGGCGGCAGATTCTTGTTACGGCAAAAAACGGACGATGCGCCATGGCAAGAAGCAACCGAAAAGAAGGTGCATGATAAGATCAGTCATATGCTAAGGGACCAACCACATCCTCTGAAGCAGTAGGCGATCTGCGATTTTGTTCTAAATAAAAATAAATGTATAGAGGAAAATTCTTCTGAAACTTATAGTAGCTTTGTAGCCAAAATGAATAGGAGCGATGACCGTGACTCTCCGATGATGGTTGCGATTGGTGGGAACTATCCTCAACTTATATAGGAGTCACCCTCGGGAATGCAACATGGATTGCTGTACGGGCCTAACCTCGCTCCAAAACCCAATCCCGAGTTCCAGTGGCATTAACCTTTTCATTTACTTCCGTGAAATCCTGGAAGACTTGATGATGTGCCCCGACGTCTACGATCTCCTACAGTATTTGGTCCGGGTTCGCTGCCAATCATATTTGATTGTCCTTTCAAATCCTACAGTACTGTATCTTTCGACCTCGGTGAAAACCGGCAGTCCCTAGGCAGTACCAAAGTTAGTACCTCGCTACTGTGCCAAAGCTACAAGCTTGTCGTATGTAGCATGTATCGTACTGTAGATTATGACACAAGTTTCCATGGTATGTATGGTACCGGTACCAAAGACAAGTCTACAGTACCTGGTGCGTACATCACCTGCGTCTCCAGATAGTGTCTGTCTCACTCTAGCACCGCGTTTCCACCTCAATGTGTGGTGTCCATCCGTCCATCGGTGTCGATCTGTCCTCGTTGATTGTTCAGATGGTCGATAGCATCACGACTGACGACCGGCAAACGCAAAACAAAAAATAGGAGTACAGTAAGGGTACCCTTTTAAGAGAGTATTGTGCGATAGCGTAAAATGTCTCTTAAGGCGGTTCCCCTCTTATTAAAGGGGGTCTGGGGGCGTCGCCCCCAGTGGATTGGGGGTCTGGGGGTTGCCCCCAACGGGTCAAGGGCGGAGCCTTGCGGGGGGTATCTAGGGGGGCAGAGCCCCCTTGGAGAAGAAAATTTGCAGTTTCAGGTAACAATTGAACCAAATTTGATAAGAAAACTACCGCAATCTTTAAGGTACATTTTAGATCTGGTGCTGCGCTGGCCGCTTCATACATTCAATGCTTCCTAAGCAGGTTTTTAGCCTGCTGTTAGCATTGAAGCATCTAGTTCCAAAGGACGACACAACACCTCTTCCGCAGCGTCCGAATCATCTGGATCATTAGGGGAACCACCTGTTGGAGCAAGAATAGCCTCAACTGTGATATCTTTCTCGCCACTCTGCTGTAACAAATCCTTCTGCTGCACTTCCCCCAGAAAGGCTGGTTTGCAGGCGAAGGACAGACATATGGGCATGAAATGGTACGGGTGACAGACGGACCGTGAAAGTTGTGTCTCTTCAAAATTTGTCTCTGAAGGGGGTGTTTCTCTTAAAAAAAACCTCTTAACAGGTACCCTTACTGTATGAGGTATGTTGAACAAGAGAACCTTTACAGTTTCAAAAGTCTCCACCATGGCAAGCTCCCTTCTTACTGGGAATGTTGAATTCGAAGATAGCGGAGAACTATCATTAAGTCAAGATGAAACAGATCTACCAACAATTCATGAAAGTCAATCGAATGATGAGAGTTCTACTAGTAGTGTGCAACTACCATCCACACCAACACAGAAGAACGCTATATTGAAATGGCCATCACAGAAGAGAGAACGCCCGAAAACGAAAAAGAGAGTTTCATTTGATGAAGCAGCTATCGAACGGAAACGTGGGAAGGTATCACGAAGACCAAGGCGGAGAAGGAACGTGCGAGTTGCGGCATCTCCTCTACGAGACTTTGTTGCAGTCATGGTCATTTTTCTCTTTACAGCGCTCTTCAGTACTCTCCTTCGAGATGCACAGAGACAAGCGCAAGAAGACTTCCTCAATCGGAAAGCGCAAAAAGGAACGCTATCATCGCGCCGAAAACGTTGGCAACAACGACAGAAAATTCAAATACAACAGCCTGTTGAGGAGGAGTCGGTAGAAACTATTATTTTTGATGAATCATTTATAGTTTCATCCGAGCAATCGTCGCAAAGTGAATCGCAAATAGAAGAAGAGGATAATCGAGAAGTTCAGCGACTCTTGCAAACAGACGACGAGGATAGTGTTGAAAATGTTGAAGACTTCGTTATCCAACCTTCTGATAGCAGTGAGGATACTGCATGCAACCTCGAAACAACAGACGGCGAAGTGCCCAAAGACGATACCAATTTGAATACAGAAAGCTCGGTTCACATTCACGATGAATCCGCATATTCAGAACAGAAAGGTGAAGACACCACGGACGATATCAGAACGGAAGAAAGGGTAGAGCTGTGACGAAAGATTATTCTCCATAGCTTGTCAACACAAAAGACCTACAATTGCCAAAACTCGCTCAACTTGAATGAACCAATGAATTCGGGGTTATTTTGAATGTATCTAGGATCATTGTATTGTGCAGTCACCACTTTTTACAAAGATACGAGCCAACAGGTCGTCTGAAAGAAAACAAGTCATCCAAACAAGACAAGCCAAGAGGAATGAATCAACCGTGTGTAATAATCACCACCACTTTTCACAATAATGATACAAACGGACCAGCCGCAACCACGAAAATTCTGCTGGGAAAACAAAGATATGCAATTCTGCAGATGATGATAGGATACTGAAACTCGAAAAGAACAGCAACAGGGAAATAGTGAAGGAAGCAGAGTTTGTTGCTCTCGGTAGACTTAAACAACAATTCATGAACTATAGTAGTACTGTGAAGTATCATTTATGTCTATCAGGACTACGAGTATAATGGAAAAATACTGCAACTGAAATAAACTTTATCACTCTATCATCATTCATTTTATACACTACACTTGTTGGCTACATATTAATAATCAACAAAGACTTTCAGCTCCTCTTGCATGGTTATTAGAAAAAAAGTCATTTTCTCTTTGCCTCCTCTGTCGCCTTTGACTGTTGTGATCAGACCGTTTGAATTTCTTGTTGGGTTTCGAGTGATTGCCGTTCTTACTGCTGTACACCATCTTATCTCCACCACCACCACTAGTCACTACACCACAAACAGCGCCACCGCCACCACCATTATCAAGTTGTGGAATTTCCCACAAGTTTGCCAATTCTCGTGCCATGGCCTTGGCTTGGCTCCGTTCTCCTTCAAAGACCCCCATGCTAATGGACGGTAGTTGGGAAATGGGCAAATTTCCAAAGCCCACCAATTCGTCTTGCAAGTCTTGGAATGCACTCAAATCACTCAATGTATTGTCTTGAATGTAATCGGTGCGTAGTTCCATCCCCGCATTTTGGGCCGCTTGAATGATAGGTCCATTCCACAACCTCCACAACAATTCATTGTCGGAGGTTGTTGATTCCTCCACTTGGTTTTCTTCTTCTTCTTCTTCTTGTTGTTGTTGTTCCCCGAGAAGAAAACCATTGTGGTTGTGGTGGACAGCAGCATTCTCGTGCACTACACCATCATCGTCGTCATCATTCTGCTGTAATAATAGTAATAAGAGTCGTTCGCGGAGTGGACTCAAATCGACAATGAGACAATCCAAAGGTCTTCCCCCACTGGCCTTGCACAAGACAATTTGTGGCTTGGAGGCTTGCAAACAACACCATTGCCGATGAGCACAGGCCAAATTGGAGGATTTTCGACCCCGCCGAAAGCCCGTGCCTTCCAAGGTGACATAGCCTTTGCGGAGCGCTCGTTGGAGTTCTTGTTGTTCCTTGCTGGTTAGTTTGTATCGTTCTGATTTTTGTTGGGAGAGACGCCGTTGCTTTTTTTTTGGTGGTGGTGGCTCGTTGATTTGGATTTGGACTTGGACTTCAGGAACACTGTCCATCAGCGTGGTGGAAGTCGTGGCAGGATGGGAAAAGGGTTTCGTCTTGTTGTTGCGCTTATTCTTGATTTTTTCCTTTCGTTTAATCTTCTTTTGCAATTTGGTCTGACTGCGGACTTGTCGCATGGTATTGACTTGATTCTTTCGAGAGGACTTGCTGCAATTCTTGATTCCACCAATGACATAGGCCACCATCTTTTCGGGAACCCGGACCCGTCCCTTTTTGGGATGATCTCGAATCTCTTCCACCTTGAGGGGCTTGCCTTGAAGTTCTGCATTGTGAAATCTCAAGAGGGCTTGATTCTTTTGTTCTTCGGTAGGAAAGGTGACAAATCCATACTTGAGGGAGGCCATGTTGGGTTTGCGGACCACGCAGGCGGGAATGGAGGACCATTCGGTTACGGGGGCAAAGAGTCGGGAGAGGTCGTCGTCGTGGACAAACTCGTTCAAGTTTCCCACAAAGAGCGTGGTTTGGAGCATGGAATCTGGAAGTGGGACCATTTCGTAGCGCTCTCCCCCCATCATCCTTTCGTACATGTCAGCGTCTCGGACTGTGTGGACGTTTAATGACAACAATGCTGCCGTGAAGGATGGATTGTTTGCGTCTTGTTGTGGATATTGTTGCAACGAAATTCTAGTTCTCGGGGAAGAAACAAATGACTCGGAACGATTCAGCATTGCTGCCCACAAGCACAAGAGAAAGTACATCTTGTTGTTGCTGCTGTTGCTGCTTTTGTTGCTGCTGCTGTACGGCATGATTGTGTCGTGCTCTTCGTCTCTTATTTCTATTCCAAATAAACAACCACAGCAACAGGAAGGAAGCCTCTTGCTGGTTCACAGGAGGTGTGTCTCTTGGAATTCAATCTGCATTGAAAAGAGAAAATGAGTTCTGTACATGTACTGTAGGACTAGGGCAAAAAGATACGTCTTCAAATGAAAGACACCGCTGCAACGAAGATTCTTTTTTTCATCTTGTTGCTTCCATCCAGCATGAATTTTGATTCGGAAACGAATCTCCGGTTGGTTGTACGGACGATTGTCGTACATTTCGCTCGTAAGAACGCTCGAATCAGAATTTTGAACAGCTGATTTCCGAATGACACGCACGTGTTTCTTTTTTTCTGTTCGTTCGAGTTGTTTTATTTTATTTGGCGCGGCGTCATTTTTTCTTGAAAAAACGGAAGAGCAAAAGAGGAGGGAATTCTTTTGGTGTAATATTAATACGACTACGTATTACTGTAATATATAAAAATGAGTCAAGTCGTCAACACAACAGAATGAATCATCTTCTTCTTCTCTTTCCAATGATACCCTGTAAATACATATATTTCTAAATGCAATGGCAAACGTGACGCCATGCCATGTGGTATGATGATAGATCGCAGCCAGCAACTTCAAGAAGTTCAAGAGGGCACATTTTTGCACATGACACTATCAAAAGGAGGAAGAATAAATGAATGATTGATCGTCTTTTCAAAACAGAATGGCTAGCATTGACATGATTGAGGCCGAATATGATCAAGACTTGTCAAATTGGCCCGAAATAACGACTGTCCGTTGATGAAAAAATTACGATCCGACTGCTTTTATTTTCTGTGCGAATAGTGCGGCGAACGGCCGGGAAATGGAAATTTAGCATATAAGTGTACAGGGTACCGTAGGGTCTGCAACTGGTGGGAGAAGCAGACATAACGTGCCGTAAAGGCTAAAACAGAAGAAACGAAAGTCGACTGAGTCGAACTGACGGTCGATTGAGTCAGTCAGTCGGCCAAAAAACGACAATGAATTTTTGTGTGGTCAACTGCGACATGGTGCGACACGGAGCTACAGGCAAATGGATTCTAAATAAATAGCTTTCATTTCTGACACCCGACACCAAACCCCACCACACATCTCAGTTTTCATGTGCACACACGCAAAGTAGAAAGCAAAGCTGCCCGGGGAAAAGAGGACGGGCCACTTTGCAGACAATTCTTGGGAGTAAATATTGATTTTCCCGGCCGTTTTGTACCGTAGTCATACTGTAGGTATATCCACGTTTCATTCCTAAAATGTGTCGATGATAGATTTCGATGATAGATTTGTTCTCTTTTCATCTTTAAAGGTTTGTCTGTCTTTGCTCAGCGACAGACCACACTGCTGTGAAGATGAAGAAACTCCAGGGAGATTTGCTAGCCTTTGCCCTGGAAGGCACCTTTGATGTCATCGTCCATGGCTGCAACTGCCAGGGCCATATGGGCGCAGGGATTGCCAAAAGCATCAAGATCCAATTTCCCGAAGCCTTCATAGCCGACAAGCAGACCACAGCAGGAGATTTTGACAGATTGGGTACCTATTCGACCGCCCATATCCAAAGAGATGATGACGACAGTACTACTATCCAATTTTACATTGTGAATGCCTATACTCAATTTCATTGGAAAGGTAAAGGTGTCAAGGCAGATTATCATGCCATTCGCGGTGTCTTTTCAAAACTCAAGCAAGAATTTTCAGGATTGCGGATTGGGTATCCAAGGATCGGGGCAGGACTGGCAGGGGGTGATTGGGCATTGATTTCTGAAATCATTGACGAAGAACTCGAAGGTGAAGATCATACACTAGTGGAATTCGTTCCTCCTCCGCCTCATCCTGAACAAGAAGGTCTTTCAAAGAAACGATCGACAATGGATCACATGACAAAAACAGGAAGAAAGAAATTCAAAAAGTGACGATAGGCAGAGTCTCATCATTCGCAGTCAGCTTGAGGCAGATTGAATCATCGAGGATGCCATTCAATCAAAACCCCATCATGCGGAATCTAGTACAAGGTTCGAGAACTGTAATTTGGGAGAAGTCCATGCACGCGACACTCCACTTATGACCGTTTGGTATTGGTTGGTGCATGTTTCGAGAGCAAATCGATACTATAGTACCTTAGGAACCTTGTTTGTGTTCGTGATTGATCATTTATTCCCTACAGGAGGAGGAGGGCGATAATCATATCAATAGACATCGGAGATGAAGATCGGTATCATGAAGCATACCATTGTATACTGTAATCCAATTGCTAATGAACCTACATCAGATCCAGCCTGTTGTAAAGTACAGTGGAACTATACAGCTGATTATCTATGATCGGAATGATTCTGCGGAACCTCTTGTTATTTGCTTCCACGTGGGATGGATGGAGCAGAAACAGTCTTTTTGTGGACCCATTGGACTGGAAGAGCTCAAAGAAGCGCAACAGTTGCTGCATCATCAATGGATCATATGCAATAAGGTAGATAGACAATTCTTTGTATTTCAATATCTACAACATGACAGGATTTTTCAGCAAAGCCATTGCGATGCTGCTCTGTCTGCTCTCGAGTACGGAAGCTCTTTCATTGAACAGCAATAATATGCCTGGCATGTCGCTGTCTGACAGTTATATGCTTAGCCAAAAGCATACGACACGCATGGCCACACGACGAGACACCATCATGATGCCTAGTCAGACTCCCATGGTTCCTTGGAAGGTACGGAGGGGTTTTGTTCCTGATTCTGTCCTGTTGCGATGTTGGTACGGGACCAGGTAGTCAATGGACGACTGGCCGACTAGGTCCCAGTTTCCACATGCTTTCAATCGTAACTACTATTTGTTTTGGAATTCCCCACTCACCATTTCGTTGCCTCACCAATCCTAGGCACCTGGCTCGGATGTCGCACAGTTTGTTGATATCAACTCTGCCATGTACCGCGATCGAACCATCATGATCAACAAGTTCATTGACGAAGAAGCGGCGAATGAAATTATTTCCATAATCCTGTACATGCGAAAAGAGGACTACAAGGGGGATATCAGTATTTATTTCAATGTCCCAGGAGCACTATTGAGACCCACACTGGCCATTTACGACTTGCTTCAACAAACCAAGCAAAATTGCGAAATTGAAACTGTCAATCTTGGTCTATGTGCGGGGATGGCATCATTCTTGGCTGCTGCTGGAACCAAGGGAAAGCGATCAGCCATGCCAAACTCTCGCTTTTTGCTGCAACGCACTGGAATGGATGAAGTCTTTAGAGGACAAGCTACTGATATAGCCTTGGAGGTGCGAAACGTCAAAAAGTCAAACGACCGCATGGAATACGAACTCTCGCAATTAACTGGACAACCTGTCGAAAAGATTCATCAGGATCTCACCAGAGACTTTTACTTGACTTCCGATGAAGCTGTGCAATATGGATTGATTGATAAGGTTTTGTTGCCAGCTCCATTGAAGCGAGCAGCTCGTGGACAAGATGCGGACCTGGGTACCTTTGAAGGAGACGAGGAACAAAAGTACCAAGGGCAGGATGCCTCTGGTGGCTGGGGAAGTCAGCAAGCGCAGCAACGCCCAGAAAAGCCCAAGAATGACGACGACGATGGTCCAAAGATTATGAAGGGTTAAACTAGATTATATATTCTCACGAATGGCGTTCTAGATATTACATCAAATGTGGATTGAACCGAGGGCATTAAGAGGGAGTGTGATTTGGTGGATCTCGTGCACCGCGATTCTCACATGGGTCAGCCGGCCTTTTACCATTCAACACAATCCCTTGTGTCTCATAGTCGAACACATTGAACAGACCAGTCCGAGAGGCTTGTCGTTCAAAAACGTACATGCCCTGCACGTCCAAGAAGACGTCTTTGTTGGATTTGGCTTCTGACGCTTTGCGCCAGTCTGTTCGGAGCCATTCATTGAAATGAAATGTCTCTTGATTGAATTGTCCACTGCATTGGTTGCCATTTCTTCGTCACTCGCAATGCTCTTGCTCCTATTCTCGCTGGCATTAGCACCGTCTTCGCAAACAGTGGTCGAACCAGCCAGGGATACTTGTTTCCAACCTTCAAACGAAACTTGTTGCTTAAGCATGCTTCGCTCAAACACAGTAGTGATTGTGGGTTGATTGGAGGGGTCGTCTCTTTCCACAAAACTCGAAAGCGCCTTTGGTTTCCGACCCTCCATTTCTTCTCTTCCACGACTTCTGCTTCCATGCTTCATGTATACTTGATTTGCCATAGATCTGGTTTCACTTTGGCGCTTCACGTCAGCAACCTTTTTCTTCGCAACCTTGGCTGATTCTTGCTCATGGACAATAGGTTTGGGATAGTCCCGACCTACTACCACATTGCATTGTTGTTGAAGAGACAGCGGCATCTTGGAAGGCTCATGAATATACTCTGTAGGAACCTTTCTCAATTCAGTAACATAGCGCCGAATGAAGTTTCCTTCTGTATCATGATCCTTCCCTTGTTTAGTAGTATTGTATACTCGCATTGCATTGATACCTGTGGTCCCCGATTGCATTTGCAACTGCGGATAATGTATCCTGAGTTGTGGCGGTATTGGTATTAATAGGTAGCACCAATGCAAAATATGGTCAGGGAAATTGCTTTGATTGTTTGCATCGAGAACTGTTTGACTTGACTTACCCCGGTTCATAATCCAAAAAGACTCGGGCCAAGTGTGGCGCAAGCTTTTTCCAATCGAGCCAGAGATTATAGGTGGCAAACGAAACCAGCATTGCTCGCATGCGGAAGTTCAGCCAACCATGTTGTAATAAGCACCTCATGCAAGCGTCGACAAAGGGGAAACCAGTCTTTCCCTGTGCCCACGCCTGGTAGTATTCTTCATTCCAATCACCATTCCTTCTCCTCAAATCTTGGTATGCTGGACACAAATCCCTTTTCTCCATTGTGGGCTCGGATTCAAGTTTCTGAATAAAATGTGACCTCCAATGAACCCTGGACGAAAATGCTTGCAACCCTTTCAACCAAGTCCCAATATTCCGCCCCTGTTGATTCATTTTCCGAAGCTGCTCTTGCCGTTGCTTCAGAGCGTGTACGACATGTCGATGGGATATATGTCCCCAGGCCAAATAGGGGGACAACCGACTGCATGTCGTCCATGCCGTATTGGGCGAAGAGATCCCTTGAGAGAACTTGGATCCACGCTCCGATAAAAAGGAATCGAGTGTCGCACAAGCCTTTGTCAGCCCCCCTTTCTGTTGTCTGTCTGGTCTATCTTGGCGGTGTGAATTTGGAATTTCTGAAAATTGGTCTAGTGGTAGCGTCAAGTTGGGCATGAATCCAGGAATATCCTTCATTTGGACGATTTGTTGGCAAAGCATAGGCATGTCTGGTGTCGAATGCTGTGGTTGAGAAATAAATGCTTGGAACTTGGCACTGAAATCATCCCTCGACTTGAGGCATCGCGTCACTCCCGTCTGATTGAACTCGGTGAAAGGGATTGAATTGGAGCGACAAAACTTTCGAACTTGCTTGTCTCGCATAAAGGATTGCCAGTGACCTGTTTCTTGATGGGCAAGCAATCGATGGATGGTATACTTGCGGTGAATGAATTGAAAGGCATCGATTGCGGAGCAGTGTGAAATTGTAATATATTGAAAAGAATCGATTGTCGTCTTTTCCTCCTCGTGGTGTTGTTGCAGTAATAGCTGCCGTTCCAAGTCCACCAATCCTTCGTGGACAAATAACAAATGAGATCCATGCACAGTTGGTTCTACGAGCTGGTCTGGTTCATATAAAAAGAGCAGAATGACTGGGTTTTTGGTTCTAGCCGCATGAGATAGTGGACCATGGTCCTGTAGTCTAACATCACGTTTCAGCCATACCACATCCATTGGCCGGTGAGGGGGAAGTTTCAAGTTGTGTTGGGAAGCTTGGGAGGAGTGGATATACAAAAGGTCGACTACTTCGAACACACTGTGTTCTGCGAAGCAGTACTTCACGTTCAGTATTGATAATTACTGGTATTGATAGTAGACGACAGAATGCAGAGCAAGAGCAACTTCTGAACTCCGGAAAGTGTTGGAGAAGGCATCGAGTATGCTTGGGCAAAGTGAAAGTAAAAGTAAAGGAGCACTGCACACACAATACTAGACTTATTTGAATGTTCAGTCATCTACCTTGCACAATATATATTTAGTACAGTCAGGCTTGTTATGATCCCAAGCAAGCCATTATAATACAAAACCTCCATTCCCTGTTTTCATTTCTGCATGATATTGATTCATTGATTCATTGAATGGATGAATTATTGAATGATTCAGCGATTGATTCATACATCACTACATGCTAGGAGTAGCTTCATGGTAGGACTCAATCTTCCACCCCACTAGACCTCAATTTCCACTTCTTCCACCTTGGAACCCGTCGACGCTGACTTGTTGCATCGTGACTCGCCGGTCGATGACAATGAATCCACTTCTTCTTGCTCTTCTCCTTCTCGCTGGCTATTATTGTAAGATCCACATGGTTCCGCAGACAATTCAACATCCTCCAGACTTTCACCACCAACATCGTAGCTACCGCTCCCACTGCTAGCATCCAGCGATGCCAATGATGATTCTTCTTCTTTTTGAGAGTCGGCGTCGTCGTCTTCTTGTGAGGAGGAGGAGGACATTTCATCATTACTATCATGGTAGGATCCAGACTCTTCGTCCTCGTCACTGCTGTAATCATAATCATCATCATCATCTTCGTCATCCGACGACGAGTACAAAATTTCGGCCTTCGCCATGACTGGACCATTATAGGGCGCCCGCGTCGTTTGATCCAGTTCCATTTCCACACTGCTGCTGCTGCTGCCGTCTTCCTGATCCGACCTGGATCCTCCTCCTCCTTCTTCCTCATCCTGTTCATCATGACTACCAATACCATTGGAATCACTACCATCAGCAGCACTATCATGACTACTGAAATCATCCGAATCCGAATTTCCTTCGTGACTTGTCGTACTGTTGCTGACAGGGCCACCACCACCACCAAGTACTCCTCGATGATGTAGCATCCATCGAAAGGTCAGAAAATTGTGTTGCAAGTGTTTGGATTGCCGACTACAGGCAGTGCAAACATCCTTCATATCTTGTCCAAAGATGAGGGAGTAATAGATGAAGAAAAGAAAGGCACCCGAACAGCTGAGAACAAGTCCCGCAAGCTTGATTCTCTCGGCAATGAGGAACATATCCGTGTCCAGCGGTTTGGCGGAACAGCGGGACGAGCAGGATCCCAAGAATGGAATTTCGGGCCAATTGTCCTTTAGGTCAGGGTATTTCGTAGTGTCTAGATGTGATCCCATGACCGGAAGTCCATAAGTTTCCTGAACGCATTGTTCGACCTGGGCTGCATACATGGTAAAATCATTGAGCGTCGTGGTGGAATCTTCAACCACAACCATGCAATCCGGTTCCACAATCCATTCTTCACACCAAACCTCCTTATGGTCGGGACACGCCCATTCGTGTCCCCAATTGACATTGAAAGTAGCCTTGTATGCCCCGCAATCACGTCCATTTCCATCATGACATGGATATTGACCGTCAAACTCGACCGTGCTGTTTTGAATGAGCATGTCAATTTTGCGGTACTCCCCCGTCAAGGTTTGGTTGCGATAGGAGAGTGCAAAACAAACGAGGCCCGGAAGCATAATGATATAAAAGACCACTCCGATTTGCATTGCGTATTTTTGAAAGCTTGATTTGATGACGGGAACGTCCTTGTGGGCAAAGCCAACGTAAAACAAAAACAGGCAAATGTACAAAATGGCAATCGCTTCAAAGAGGATACTGAAATTGCCTTCAATGGCCGACCAAGTCAAAAACGAGACGGCGCCTGCCAATCCCACAAACAACACGGCTTGCAATCCTTGTATGCACCACGTCTTGGGGCTGTTGCGATTCTCAAAGTAGGGCACAATCACGGGGAATTCCACCGCAAAGAAGAAACTCATGAATACCGAAATGACGCTGGCAAACGCCACAAAGTAGGAAAACCCTGTTGTGCCTTGCATCTTATTTGTTTACTGGGTTGATAGTGTATTCAGTGTATTACGGTACGATCTTGGTAGTTTGTTGCGGTAGGAGTCGTTATTGTTGCGGATGTATGCTAGTACCGTAGTAGATCGATCTCTCCGCCGCCAATGCAAATGGTGATCTCTGATTTCTGTTCGGTTCCCATAAATCTGCCAGTCCAGTCAAACGAAACGAACAGATGAATTCTCATCTGTACCCACGTAGCAAATGTACTGGATTCTACGACATCATCGCGCGAGCGTTTCACTCTTTTTTAAGAGTCTGCGACACAAGACACTTTCGGTTCTTTGCATTTAATTATAGCCAGAGTGACAATCACCGACGCGATATATTTCAATCCAGAAGAGAAGATTTTTGTTTCGTGTGGAAAAAGCTTGGGCGTTACTAAATCTTTCTTGTGGGACCCTGCAGGTGATACTCACACACTGGTACACGTTAGAAGAAGCGATACTCACGTTGGAAATGTGGTTCGTGTATCGTGGAATGAATGAACATTAACCGTTTCCTGGTCAGACAATACAAATCAATACATTCGTAGATCCAGTAAAAAATGTACGTGAAATCGACTACACCGACTGCTCCAAAATAGTACCTCAACCTCTAAATACTACTCGCCAAATTTGGCCACCAAAGAACTGGACTCCCCGCAACTCGTCTGTCTATCCACCGACTTTTGAGCGTCGCACGTGATTACTACGCACGGGTCTTCCCCCCCGCCAGCAGGGAGCCCCTCATAAATTAAAACGACTTTTTGAAACTGATCAAAGAAATCGAAACAAGTCACTGCGACAAGAAACCGATCAAACAATTTTGAAACCGATCAAAGAAATCGAAACAAGTCAATGCGACAAGAAACCGATCAAACGATATTGAAACCGATCAAAGAAATCGAAACCGATCAAACGATTTTGAAACCGATCAAAGAAATCGAATCAAGTCAAAAAAATGAGTCACGGAAAAAATTGAAAATCCTGTCAATCAAAGCAAAATCCTTCAAGATGACAAATGTGACGTACTCTCTACAGACCATTGGTCATCCGGCCAGACCTCCAACGTACTTCCAGCAGACGTTACATCTTACGCTCTTTTCAACAGACACTTTTGCTATACTCCTATCGGTTACTCAATATTCCAA